CCCCCCCGAGCCAGGCCGGGGCTGCTTGCCCAATTCCAGCCTTTGGCACCTTGCTGTCTTGGGGATGTGAAATGCCCAGCCCTTCCCTGCCCTTTGCACAGGCTGTGTCTGCAGAAGTTCCAAGGATTTCTAGCTCTTGCTGTGTTGCAAGTGTGAGGTGCACCTGAAAACCAGCATTTAGAGTATAACTGTGCTCTAGAGCTGCCTTGGCTTGCCCAGGAGAGGGTCCTCCTTGCATTGCACAGTGGAGAGGGGTGTCCTCCTGCTTCAAACACACAAATTGGGGCACGGGCTCCAGCGAGCCCCAGGACCACGTCCTATTGCCCAAACCCTTGCAGCGTAAGAAAGTTTTGTTCTGAAGGAGCCGCTCTCCTTGACCTGTCTATTTTTGCCCACGGATGTGCGTTGTCCTGAGAAAGAGCTCGCACTCCTTGAAGCCCCTTTATTTTTAGCTAGCCCAGTTCTTTTGCCACAGCTTAGCAGGGGCCTGGCCTTTCAGTGGAGCTCCATCACAGCCCATTCTCCCTTCATTCTTCCTCTTTGGCGCATTTGCTGGCTCCTCCCCAGTTCCCCGATGCTCTCTGTACCTCTGGGAGTTCCCTCAGGGGGTTTCACATCCCCTCTTCACCACGTCCCTTCCTCCCCGCTCCGCCTCGGCCCTTCTGCGTCGTGCGCTCTCCTTGCGCCTCTCTTGGTGTCGCAGAGGCAGAGCCTCCGTTGGTTCTGCAGCCTCCAAGCACAGCCTTCCCGCCCGACTCCTCGGATAACCCTGGCTCTGCTTCCCCCCGTCGCAAGCGTCGGGAAATTGGCAGCGCTCGAGCCACATAAAAATCAATAGCTGCCTCCTCTGCTTGGCTCGGCCCTGCTCTTCCTGCTCCTACACCAGGTAGAAAGGAATGTTGTTTCCCCTCTGAACTCGGGGCTGTATCAATGCAACTCATCCTGCTCCACCAGTGACTTATTTATTTATTTATTTATTTATTTGCAGAGCATCCACACAGCCTGTTAGATCACAGAGGTGCGGACTCGAAACTCAGACTGGGATAATTCTTTCTGTGAGCGTGGAGCAGTGACACTGCACATGGCTCCTGCATCTGGTTAAACCCCCATCTTAGTGAACTGACTTAGTAGCCAAGCCAATATTCCTCTCAGCTGCTGAACGTGTCCATCCTAGAGAGGTACATGTACAATTCCCATCAAAAGCTATGGCTCCAAGACAGAAAAATTCATTAACAGCACTGCAGGTTACATTGTGGACTGCCTCTCTTATTCCCTGGATTGCTACCAAGAGGCAGTGTGATTGAAGGAGCAGGAACAGTTCTAAAGTCCTATTTCTCTGAATTCTTTGGGGCTATATTTGTTTAATTTGTCATAAAAATGCTGTTCAAACTGGACAGCCTCACTTTTTTAGCACCATGAAGCATAACACAATTCGAATTGGTTACCGGCAGCTAAATCTCTGCTGAAAATCAAGCCAACTTGTTCTTATCCTTGTAAGCTCTTGCTCTTAAGAGCTCTGCTAATTCTGAAGGCACCGGACTTTGGAAAGCTTTTTTCTGAGTCACTGCTGTTCATCATCCCTGCATCCCTGTCATCATCCCTGCATCCCTGTCCCCTGCTTCATCAAACTTGATTTTATTGTCTAGCACAGCAGCAATAAGTGATTACTTGGAAATTAAAGTGTGAGAGAGAAAAGAAAACTGAAAGGTGTCATTTTGATGCCTGACCCCTTTTTTTTTCCTTGCTATTAGAGTTGCCCTGGTGACCAACATAAATTATTGCCAAACCACCGTATTTTTCTCAGCCGTGGGTGTTGACAAACAACAGGCCACAGGGAATCACCTGCTTAGCTATTTTCTGCTGAATGGCTTTATCTGGACTTTCACATACTCCCTACTTTGATTTTTGGCTCCTTACTAATAAAAAATGTGCAGTAAGGAATTTTGTTGATGATGCATGAGCCAAAAATTGATTCGAGCTCCGTTTACCACCAAAATGCCAACAGGGATGAAATGCTCTGTAGTAAACACTGTTCATTTAGTTGTGGCAGCTGGAAAATACGGTCAGAGTGGACTAGGGGTAGACTCCATGAGTCAGAGGATTTGTGCTTTGCTGGTCCTATCTCAGGATCAAAGGGCATCTTTAAAGGCTGGGAAATAGCGCGTTCGCTATAAAGATAAATACGATTTTGTTCCCTTCCAACATATTAAAACAATTCAGCATTGTTACTGGACTGTTAAAATATAGCACTGTTCCTGGAGAAGATGCCTCTCTGCCCTGTAACTACCATTCTTTAGCTCACTGCCACTCTTCAACTGCTGCCTAATAATTCCCCAGGAAAGAAACGGGGAATGTTTTCCGTGTTTCGTGCTTTTCGTCCTCTCAGCAGGGTGTACCTGGCTTCAACCCCATGATCTTGCACGGTGACTGATGCTCCTAGGTAAATAGCACCACCGTCCTGTTCTGCCCGTGCTTCTCCCAGAACAGTGCCCTCTCTTTCCTGCTCCTCCTCTGTGCACAGAACATAAATACCCAGAATCACTGCTGGGAATACTTCATGTTTTGGGTTTTTTTTTTTTTTTGATGTGAAGGAACCATTAAATAAAAATGTAAAAAATAAGATTCTTTAGCAAAGCCAGTGGTGCTTGCAGTAGCATAAGATGGAGTGTTTGCTCGATCTGTAAGGGATCGCCCTCCTTTTCCTGTAGGTCAGAACCTTTGGGAACACTCTGCTCAGTGTGAAAGGTGGAAGAGCCAAGTCCCTCGTCTCATTTGGAAGAGAATTGTCGTAGGCTGCTGCCTCGTTTGAAGCTGCTTCATAGCCAGATGTACTAGACCGCTTTGAACTCAGGGTAGTGTCGATAATTGTGTGTGCCTCTCTCTGTCTCTCTCTCTCATTTGCAGGTTTTCTTGTAGCGTTCACTGTTTTTTGTCTCTCAGACTCTCCCCGTTGCAGTGAGGTGGAGGTGCAGGTAGGCTCTGTGTGTTGCAGTAAATGCAGTTATTGGACTCTAAGGTAACTCTGCACTTCCATCATGTCATTCTTGTATGAATCCTGCTATCAGATCTTCCTAAGACAGAATTGTAGGAGAACTTAATAGTGTGCTTTGGTTTTATAGAAATGCCAGGGATGTACATTGCAAGAGAGGAGAGCTCCTTTGAAAGAGCTTGACTTGCAAACCATTCGGTGCCAAGAAGGATCTGTTGGAGCATCTTCTGCTCGTAGTTATCACAAGGGCAGTGTGGTGGAGATTTCTCCTTGGAGGCTTTCAAATGCAGAAGTGCCATTGTGAAGCTTTTGGCATCTCAGAGTCAGGGTTTGGGCATCTCAGAGTCACTGCAAGCATTAGTATATTTACATCGGGAATGGAAGAAAAAGATCTATTTCCCCCGCAAAAGAAAAGCATTTCAGAGCATGAATCCCCAGTCATCTGCTGGGCCAGGCAGGAGTCACATTCTCTGATCTCACTGCTAAATCTCATCATCTTTCCCTGCAGCGATACTGGAAGCAAAACCTTTATTCCAGGGTGCCCAATCACCAGCATGTGCTAAAATAACAAACATAGGATGTGCAAATAGATGTGACTGAATTATTCCCATCTTAGTTCAGAAGCTGACATCCAGAGATGTGTGATGCATTTGCCACCACTCCAAAGTTTGTGTGTCATTATTTTGGGAGTAAACATTTAAAATGAAATGAGGTTACCGTCTTTTTGTTTAGGATGATTCTGCCTTCCTTATCACGCAGCTCAGCACCGTAGCTAAATATTGTGCCGTGTTTGGAGCCTAGCCTTCCATCATCTCCTATTTCTTGTCCCTTGAAACTTCACACAGTATAAACAAGGCCTGTGTAATTTTTAAAAAAGGCCCAGGAAGATGCATCCTGCTGCTGCTGTGTTAAACTCAGTAGCTTTGTTGTCTAGCTGGAATTTTTTTTTTCCTCTCGTTGTCTGCAATGCTGAACAACAGCAAAATGTACCTTGGAAAATATACATGATATGGCACTTATCTGTGATTCATACTGTCTTTATAAAAGCAGTCAACAGAGCTATCTGCCTCGTTCCCACTCACCAGAGCGCCCTATCTCCCTCATATCTCTTTCTTCTTGCTCTTACTCCTCTAACTCTCATTTCCATGGCGTTTCTTCCCCCTATATTAATTGTTCATTTTCCCTGCTGCACTACAATTGTGATTTCTGGTAGCATTTTATTAGCTTAGGAGACGCTCAGAACTGTTAGTTTCTACAAATTAGCGAAAATAAAAGAAGAAAAAAAAGAAGTTGTATCCGTAAGCAACATGCCAGGATGTTTTTGCATTTCCACTTATAATATTTACTCAGAGCCTTCCAGAGAAGGAGAATCTCCACTTTTAGTATTTACCCAGAAGATGTATCCAGAGAAAGGGACTGTAGCCATAGCTCCCCAGCCCCAGTTATGGGTCCGTTTTCACATGTGGGGAAGTCAGGGCTCTGTGTATCTATGGGCACGTCGCCCATACGTATTTGTGTAGGTCTGTATCTATGGGCACGTCGCCCATACGTATTTGTGTAGGTCGGGATTCCTGCTCTCCTCGTCCCTCAGTGCCCTCCAGCAGCGAGTCGATCCCGCTGCCGCCCTCAGCCGCGCAGCCGCCGGTAAAAGGCACCGAGGAGGCCGGATGCCGGGCTCAGCTGGCGCTGAATCTGCAGCGGGATGGAGTATTGGATTTGGATGGAGCGGGCAGCGCCGAGCCGGTGAGAGCGGCGCAGGGCGCCGGGGCTGCCCGCGCTCCGCGGCGCGCTCCGCAGAGCCGGGCACAGTCAGGTAGGATTTGGCTCAAACTCCATCTGTCAGCGCACGCCGTGATTTTTTTAATGACTTCTTTCAGCTTGACCTAAATAAGCCATTTGCAAGGGGTAGCGGGGAGAAAGCGTTTGGCACTGGCGTTTCCTGCAAGTTGGGAAGAGTTGAGGCTGCGGTAGCCGCTCACCCGCTGCCCGCTGTGTCCGCAGCCACCCCGTCCCGGCGCCGCGGCCCCCCATGCGCCTCGGCATGAGCACGTGTGGCAGGAAGGCTCTCACCCTGCTCAGCAGCGTCTTCGCCGTCTGCGGCCTCGGCCTCCTGGGCATCTCCGTGAGCACCGACTACTGGCTCTACCTGGAGGAGGGCACCGTGCAGCCCCAAAACCAGACCACGGAGATCAAGATGTCGCTGCACTCGGGGCTCTGGAGGGTCTGCTTTTTGTCAGGTACGGCCTTGGTACGGAGAAGTTCTCACTGCTGAGGTTTTGACTGTGTTTTCTGCAGAAAATGGCATGGGCAGACAGGGTTTCTAGAGGCCTGGCTTTGCTTGCAGGCGTCTACCAAGCAGTTTCAAGATGTGCAAACACTCCATGCCCAGCTTTGGCATCAAATCTTCCTCGTGTAGGTGGGAGGCTGGTTCCTTCATGCCACAACAGCCCCTGCCAGAACTGCCTCCATGGACCCATGACCCCCCACCAAGTGTTTTTGTCCCTGGAAAATTTAGATTCAGATCAGCTGAAACGTTTCCTCTGCTCATGCTGATTTTGATGAAGCAACTTGGCCGTGGGGAGCATAAAACCCAAAGAAATGGTGGTTTCAGATTGACACTTTCAAAATGCTGTCAAGTCTGAAACACGGCTTTGAAGAAAGGCCCAGGAGAGAGGGACTCTGGGACCTCTCCTGTTGGGACCTTAAATCTTCTGGCTTCTGAGTTTGTCCTTTTGTGTTCCAGGGAATCATTTTTTATATAAATATATTTTTTTAATTAACTAACATTCTGTGTCAAGTATTAAAAATCTGTCTCACGTGGAAAGGACCTGTCACTCCATCTCTTGCTGGCCATCTAACCATTGATTTGGAGCTCTACAATTCAAAAGAGCAATTGCTCGTGCTAAATTCATTGGCAAGAGGAGTTGGAAAACAAGGGTTTTATCCATCGCTCCCGTGTTGGAACCTGTTATTTTTTTCTTTTCATTATTCCCACATAAAAATCCTGAATGACCAGCACTGTATTGATTGAGCTGATATGTTTCTGAGCAAAACGCTGGCCTCCCTCCTGTCTGTTCAGCCGGCTGTGGCTCTTTCAGCAGGGACATTTTAAAAGGCAGGAAGCTGGTCTCTCCATGAGATTGTACTTAACAGATACATTCTTCAGCTCCAAATGCTAGCACTCAAGATAGAAGCAGCATGAAAAAGCAAGATGGTTTTTATGCGTGCACTGAAATTGATGTTAAAGCCACTTTTCGCACACACAAATAAAAAACTGCAATTAAATTGCAGGCATGAATCAGTCCTTTCCTGCAGGTGAAGAGCGTGGCCGGTGCTTCACTATAGAATACGTCATGCCCATGAATGTCCAGATGACGTCTGAATCCACAATCAACGTCCTGAGTAAGTGATCCTTGGAGGGGAATCGTTCTTCACAGCCTGTAAAGCACAATAGGTCACTAGGGATCCCCCTAAAAATCGCTTTTGTGTCCTCGCTGAGGACACTCCTGTTTCACAGGAGGTGGTGCCACTACGTCTTTTACTGTGTGAATCATCTGATGTGCTCCGAAATTTCGGAGTGCATCCTTTGCTAATGGCAGGAAGCTCACAGAGGCTGTAAACAGTACAATTTCCTTTCAGCACTTCTGTTTATGGAGGCTTTATATTCTCCTCTCAGTAATTTGCAGCAGTATTTCTCCTGCAGCGGTCAATTTTGCACATTACCCAGTGCAATGAGTTAAAGATGGAGCATCACAACTCTCAGTATAAATTCGGTAGTCATCTTTGATTTAATAAGTAAAAGTATTGGGTAAACAGTTTTGCAGCCATACTGGAGAAAAACGCAGGTTCCATGGGTGGGATTTTTTTTCCCCTTACTTAGCGCTTCACATGGAGACCCTTGGAAATGCAGACGTTAACAGATATTTCTGTCAAAATGCCATTTCAGCCGTCTGGTTAGCAAAGACACCTGAGGAGAGGGACACCCTGCAAGGGCCAGGGAAGGTAACGGGAGCAAGGAGGGACGAGGTGGTAGCAGGACAGGGCAGGTGGGGCCATCTATCCAGCCGTGGACATTATAACTTATTGCATCTTCTTCTGCTCTTCTCCCATCAGAGATGATTCGTTCTGCTACTCCCTTCCCTTTGGTCAGCCTCTTTTTCATGTTCATTGGTTTCATACTGAGCAACATCGGCCACATTCGGCCTCACCGGACCATCCTCGCCTTTGTGTCTGGAATCTTCTTCATCCTGTCTGGTGAGTTTTGCCTGCAGAAATTCCCCTGGATCACACATCTGTCGGGTTTTACCACAGGCTTCTCTCTGATGTAGTGGAGGGTCATGAAACCCCATTTACCATAAACTATATTTTAATGAATATTATAATTCATAAAAGTGAATGTAAATGTATTATGAGTATTAATATTATGCTTCAATTTAAGGTATGTCCAGAGGTAAAACAGGTGCCACAGGTGGAAATAGCTTACGTGGTACAACCGAAATCTGAGCCAGGTTCACACGGTAATCTTGTATGCAGAATTTGCCATTGAGAGTAGCAAATTAATGGCACGCAGGGAAAAGGCTGAGAGCAATGCTGAAAAGACAACGCTGTGAGCTTGGGACCATTGATGTCAATGCTTTGGAGGAGGGAAGGGGAATTGGGCATTTGTCAAAGTCTTCTTTTTGCCCTGCCCCTACATGAGCACCGCGATGAGGCGAGCGGGGCTCGTGGATGTGACCGGCTGGTGAGCACTGGCCTCGGGGGTGCAAGCCCTGCTGGACAAAGTGAAAATCAATGTTAATATCACATCCTGTGCACTGCATGTAATTAGAAAGAAGCAGCAAATTCTTGACCATAGGGGACATTCATTTGGGTACTTTTCAGTGCTCTCATGACCTGCTCTTTGGCTCCTCACCCCAGCTGATGTCTGGGGGGCTCCTGGCGTGACCCCCACATACCCCAATTGGCAGTATCTGTGTCTGTCTCCTAGCAAGACTCGCTTGGAGGCAGGAGGAAAAGAGGAAAAGCACCCACAGAACCCAGAGTTATTCCCCAGGAGCAGCCCCTGTGAGCATGGGCTGGGGAGAGGACACTTCCGTCTCTCAATAAGTCAGTCACAGGAGAGATCTGAAACCTCAAAATAATCAGCCAGGATATGTCTACATCAGACAAGCGAATGTTTTATTCATGGTGTTATCCTAGTGTTAAACAAATAGCTGTGACAACTGAGCTTTGAAGCAGGCTCCCACACAGCGCACAGTTCAGAGGAACCTGCTTCAGAACATAATGGTTGGAGTGAAATGATATAAATGCCCTGGCTCAGTTCAGTAGGGAGCAGCCTGTTTCCCCAGTCGTTCCAAGCACAGCCTTTCCCTTTGCACTTTCACCTCCAAGTCTGGGTTTAAAACAGGGCGTTTCATGAAGTGCCTTTCTCCCTCGTGTCTCCTCAGGTCTGTCGCTGGTGGTGGGGCTGGTCCTGTACATCTCCAGCATTAATGATGAGATGCTCAACAGGACCAAGGACTCTGAAACTTTCTTCAATTACAAATACGGATGGTCCTTTGCTTTCTCTGCTATCTCTTTCCTTCTCACAGAGGTACTGGCCACTGGGAGCTCTGTGATGTGCCTGCAAGGAGTGTATTCTGTCCTCAGGTGCTGGGCACTAGCGTAGCTGTTGTCCAGAGGCTGTCAGGAAAAAGGGGGGTGATGGATTTTAAAGGCAGACCCTGAGATGAGGTGAGTAATTCACAGCACGGTGGGAGGCAGGTGTAGAGAGGGGGCAGAGAGGCTGAGCCTGGAGCGCTCATGAGACCGGTGATTTGCTGGGTGCTTGGATCAGGAGGAGAGGCTGTTACTGCCTGGTGATTATTGTAGGCTTCCGGGAGCATGGGGAAGAGCAGGGCTTGTCTCAGGTGCCCCTATCCGAGCAGGGAAAGCCGCTTTTCCTCGCTGTGCCGGCAGCAGAGGCAGGAGCCGGACGGGTCTCTCTCTTTCTCTCCTCTCCAGAGTGCCGGCGTGATGTCCGTCTACTTGTTCATGAAGAGATACACGGCGGAGGACATCTACCGTCCTCACCCCAGCTTCTACCGGCCCCGCCTGAGCAACTGCTCCGACTACTCGGGGCAGTTCCTGCACCCGGACGCGTGGGCGCGGGGCCGCAGCCCCTCGGATATCTCCAGCGAGGCGTCCCTGCAGATGAACAGTAACTACCCGGCGCTGCTCAAGTGCCCCGAGTATGACCAGATGTCCTCGTCCCCGTGCTGAGCGCCACGCGCCTCTCCCCGTCCTCGCCACGAAGACGGCGCCGTTGCGGGCGCCCCGGCTCCGTTTGTCATTTTGTAGGCCACTATTTCGGGGCAATTCTGTATTTATAGGATCATAAATATAACAGTAGAGATTGGTTATATAGCCAATAATATAACCAAGACAATTGGGATATTTTCCTTTATTTATTTATTTTTTTTAATCGTTCCTGTAAGGCTGAAATCTCTCCAAAGCCCTTTTCTTGCAGCTCTTCCACATGTGCCACGTGCTGCTGAGCAAGTGGTCGTTCTGCGTGTGGAATAAATCCAGGGCTGGGCTAGAGAAAAGGGAGAGAAAAGATAATCAATTAGAACAAAGAACATGAAGAAAATGCGTTTTTTTTGTTTGTTTGTTTTAGATAGGCTGCAAAAGTTTGTACATTTGGCTGAATCATTTATTTGTGGATTTACTGCCCAAAGGGCAGTTGGACTAAAGCATTTGTGTCAATTTACAAGTAACGGTCACCATTAGAAAAATACAAATTGTAACTTGCTTTGATATTTACTGATTGATACCTCTCTTTGCTGGGTTTTAATCAGGCAGGAACAGGAACTAGCTCAATTACACGTCACCAGGTCAAGGAGGTTGTTTCTGTAGAGCTACTTGCAGACTATTCCCAGGTTAGACCCTCCTGCACCTCAACCCAGGGATGCCTTCGTTTTCCAGCGTGGGTCAGACACCCAAATTTACTGGTCCAATAGTCTGGAGGTCTAAAGAGGAACTGGGAGAATTTCAGTACAGCTGAAAACTACCTAAAACCATCCCATAGGAAACTGTAGGTAGAGAGTTAAGGGAAATTACGGCTGCCTGAGAGTGACCTGGATGGAAGTGCAAATTATTTAAAGCCAAGATCCCAAACTGGTGTAAAGTGGCATAGCTGAAAGTAATGAAGCTAGTCCACTGTAGCAAAGTAATTGTCTCACAGTTTATTGTTGCAGAACATGGTATTTTAGCTGCATCGTGCATTACTTCTTCTGAGTCTTATTTTGAAGTTTTTAATTTTACAAATTTCCTATGATGCACTTTTGTCTTAGAGGACCAAAAACTGCCAGGGTGTGAATATCAATCTAATTGTAAATGAAGGATGGGGAGCAGAAAGGTAATGCTCCCTCATGCAATCCGGTGGGAAGTACAAGGTTGTCACCTTGCAGAAGAAAGCTTTGTTAAACCCCTTGCTTCTGTTCCTCTTATTTTACATGTTTTTGAAATTATACATTTGCTCAAAACAAAGCCCTCCAGGATTCTTGGTACGTTTGAGCTTGTTTCATCTCATTGTAATTTAAACAAGTAGAGTATATGCACTTTTGGACCTTATTTGTAACATAATATGTAATGAATGTTGCACTGTTTTATTATTATTTGTTTATTATTTATTAATGACGCCAAACTAGGGTCCAAGTCTTGCAGTAGCAGCCACTATCCACGTTGACTCTGACACCACAGGGGTCTGTGGGACCTCACTATAGGTGTATATGCCAGACAATTCTCATACAAGATTATTTCTTGTCCAGTTCCTTCAAACAAGGAAAGTAATGTATATTTAGTGTCATTTTCCCCTTAATTTGCTAAGTTTTAAAACTAGGACATCTTTTTTGTAAGTACAGTTGTATCTACCCTTAATTTTTGTATTTCCCTCCAGCATCTGTTTCTCATTCTAAAAGACAATTTGTACGTTTTATGTAACAGGTCAGCTTCTAGGAATGTTCAAGCATTAAAGAAAAAAGAGCCATACTGTCCAGCGTGTCCTTGCCCTTCATGCGTCCACCCAAGCTAAAGGTAAAGCCCAGCCTTTTAATTTACAGGCTCTAAGCTCCCTGTCCAGCTTTATGCAAGCAGTGTCACAGCAGGGCTGTCTCGGTTAAAACCGGCCAGTGGATCCCGAAATATCCAGGAGCTGTTGGCCCTTCTGGAGCTGCCGGCCCTTCAGCACCAGCCAGGCACTTGCAGAGCAGGGTGGAACAGCAGCTTTGCAGCCCTGCTAGGAAGGATTATTTCACTCTAGGTTGTTGCAGGTTTTGGTGGCTCAAAGCTGTTGCATTTACATTTTCCTCTTGATAGTTCCTTTATGTTCCCAATAATATTCTCAGAAGGGACCTTAGACCTTGTGTATTTCCAAGACCAGGATAGTTTTGGTGCTCAGAAAACCATGAGGGTTGTCCCAGTGTCTATTGTCTGTGGTGTGGAAGAACTGTTCAATGTAGTGAATCCCACACAGCTTAAGACATTTCTGTCCCAAGGTAGAATTTCCCTTTATACTGTTTAGATACAAAATGCTTCGTTTTATGTGGGCAGATATTTTATGTTATAGAGAACATTGGAAAACTTCACACCCTTCCCAGGGTCCCAGAAGATTTAACAGTGTAGGGGCAAATTAGAAAACTAAATTATATTAATTCGCAGGAGAGATCATCGTGTGGCTCCATTTGTGAGCCCAGGAGTTCACACATTTCCCCAGGGAGCACAGCCTTCTCCGTAAGCGCAGCTCTGCTGAAAGGTAGAGGTTTAACACCTGCGAGGTTTAAGTCCTCGAGCCCCCCAGCTCCATTCTCGCACCTCGAACAGGACATGACAGGTCTCTCCGCCGGCTCTTACAAAGATAATTGCTTGGGCAACACTACGTAGAAGGCTGCTTGCACTCTTACAAGCAGAATATCTCACATTTTGTGTGAATGAGTAATTGGTGTTGGGATCCTTGGTGCACATGCCCACAGGAGCTTGAACTTTGACGATTAGACCAAATTACCAGAATTAAGAGTTAAAAAAATTCAAAGCTGCCTTATATATATATATATATATAAAAAATACATAAAAATTTCACTGTGCTGACACTTCTAAATACTACACCAGGCTAAAGCTTCTTTCACCTGCCATCAGCCTCCCACTCAACATCCCCCAGTGCAGCTCAGCAGGCTGGGGGACATATGGAGTTCAGGACACCGGGGGGATAGACGGTACCCAAAGAAATAACATGGGAGGAGACCACTGCACCTCCCGCGGAGCCTGGTCACCAAGCGGAGCCCGGAGGGAAGCCCTCAGAGTCACAGTGTCCCGCACGTGTAATTTTCCCGTTTGTTTCTTTGCTTGTTTTTTATCAAATCCCCTTTCTGTAACCCCGGGTGTCACAGGAATGGGGGTGACTCAGCTCACTGCTCAGGAGCATCCCGGGAAACGTTGCTGAGCGCGGAGGCACTGAGGGAAGCCCAGAGCAGCCAGGGCAACAGAGACCCAGGAGTCTCCTTTTGCAGCCAGGGCAAAGGAGACCCAGCCCTCCCGAGAGCTCCTGGCCTCGCTTGGATTTTCCTTTCTGCCCATGGGTTGAAGGGCAGAGCCCGTGGGGTGGGCAGAGCAGTTCCCTGCACTTGCTGGTGTCACCCGACCTTTCCCAAGCATGGGATGTCTATCCATCGCTGCCTGGCGGATTTCAGCCTGCAGACCGTTCCCAAATTGCAAACTGTTCCCATGGCTACGGGAGCTCATGGAAAGGGAGAGGCTGCCTCCTTGCTTTATCCGTATGGGAGCTTTGGTGTGTCTGATATGTTGCAATCTAGTGAGCTCCGTGGCCGGTGATTCCAGCTGTGGCTACCTCAGGATGTGCATCTTTTAATTGTAATGCAATCACCTCAACACAGCTGTTTTTCCCCTCTTTTTAGAGGGGAAAATGTCACTCGGGATGGCCTTTGAACTGCAGCAGACAGCATGGGCTTTAGCACGGGTGTCACGAGCATGGTGTGACGGTGCCCATCGCCCCGGCCTCTGGGCAGCAGCACTCCCTGCCAGCCAATATTCTGGCATTTCTATCACGTAGTCTGGTGGCAATCAGCAGCATGATATAAACCTCTTCTCCTGCTCCCTTTTCTGCCTGGTTTCACAACAGTTCATCTTTTCTGAGTCTCTGACCAATTCATCTAGCAAACTTGGTATGAAAAGAAAGACACTTCCCCCCCCAACCTCCCCCCGCTTCTTCTTTTCTTTTTCTGATTATTTGTAATATGGGAAAGCAGCATTTCAATCAAAAAAGTAGCCCCGCTTGGCTGCATTGCCAGGCTGCTATCCCAGGGGCTGTGTTTAGGGAACACATCAGCTCTAAACGGCTGTTCCCAAGCTCCAGGTGATTTGTAGTGCAGCGCTCGCCAGGCGCAGTCTGGCATTTTTAATCAAAGCACCTCCGAAATCCCCCAACCTCACCTGGCTCTCCCTTTCCAGGGAAAGCAGGATTATTCACACACAAATGGTGATTAATAAGCCTCGAGACTGTGCAGTGCCAGCACCCAAGGTTATTCCCCAGTAAGCCATCATTTTTGACGCGAGCGCCCGATAAATCTTCTGGCTGCAATGAGATGCAGCTGCTTTTAATCTTTAATGTTAAGGCAGCGTGAATTCATTTTTCTGAGAGGGAAACCATGTGTGAGCAGGGTGCAGAAGAGGGGTTTGCCTGGAGCACACTCGGACCTGCAGCTGGGCAAACCTTGGTTTAGTTTTGCTGTTGCGCCCAACAAAGAGCTGTCCCAACCATCACCTCCATTTAGGCCAGGCTTATTTAATTTTTGCTAAAATTGATCGCTCTGGAACCAAGCCCTTATTACCCTAACGAGGCCTAACTGCAATCAAGCACCTGGAAAAGCACAGGTAGACAAATCCCCAACCTGCGGGTCAGTTCTCTGCTCCTAATCAGACAAGTGCCCAGGCACATTTGTGACTCTTGGACTATGGTGGGCTCTGTATGTGTGCCAAAATTAAGCACACACTGAGTGCCCTGCTAACCAAGAGCCCTCCTAATGTGCATGCCTAAAAGCCCCTATATTGGGCTTGTAAAGAAGCCCAATAGAAGCCCAACAGAAGAACTGAGGTGCACGAGCAAGGGGAGAGCAAAGCCAAGTGCCCACAAATGTCTCATTTTGCCATCGTGCTAATATCTTTAATGAGGTGTTGATTCAAGGAAAAATAACTTGGAGACGCTCCTATCCGCCTTGCATTTTGACACACACCAGCCTCCTGCTGCAACTCGAGGGAGGAAAATCTGTTGGAGAAAGCAGGAAGGTGTGATTTAATTAGTAAGAGTTAATTTGATTAAGCAGTGAAATGTCATTCTGCTTATCTGCAGGAGAGCTTGCAGATCTGGTGTCAGTGGGGAAGGCGGACGTTTCTGATGCTATCGGTGTCACACACGTGAGCAAGGAAATCAGTGCCTTAAGTGTGATGTTGGCATGTCAGTAAGGGTCAGTCTCTGTTTATAGCAATATCTATTATTTAGCGTTATTGTTCATAATTTAGAAAAACAGAGGAGGTCCCTCTTGCAGTTCAGAACACGTACATTTAAGCCCTCATCAAATTATTTAGTTCCCTATAAATTATGCACTGTCAAAACTGCTCTGCCACATCTGAAGGTTAGAGGCTCCACCATGGAGATGTAGCAGCTCACATTTGTCTCAATCCAAATGTTATTTACAAAAAAAAAAAAAAAGCAACTTGGCAGTTGTGGGTTTCCTATTGATCTGCTTCAGCATCTCTGGCTGGTGTAGTTGAGTTGAAACAAACGCAATGAAAATACAAACCTAAGGCTGTTTTATCTCTCCATAGAAAGTAGGTCATATCCTCAAGTGAGCCGTATTTTATTCATGTAAATACGTTTTTTGCAATTAAAAATGCAATAAAAATGACGTTCATGTCAAACAAGCCTGGCACTGTGGGGTGAGGCCTGTGGGGATGATTCCTAGGCAGGAGTTGCCCATAGACAGGGCACCCGAATCCCTCTGCAAAATAGTGTGCGGGAGGCAGATTTTGCTTTGTTTTTATTCTTCCAAGACTGCTCTTCTTTCAGCAGCTCATCAGCAACTGCAACTCGTCTCCATCTGGTTCCTCCTGCCCAACAGGAACAGTTTTCCAGCCCCCAGGGTGGATGAGCCCTGCATCCCAGCTCTGGGAAGGGGAGCCGAACGGTGGGGGCATTTTGCTTGGGAAAGGACTGTCTACCTGGTTGCTGATGAGCATAGGGCTCAGCAGAGCAGACTGAAGGAGGAGAGAAATGAAAGCGCTTAAAACTCTCCAGATTGAGCTTTCTATAGGAATAATTATGGCCACTATTTTAAGACATTGTTTAATAACGTTGAACTGATGACTGAGCCTGGATTATAACACCGCCACCTACACACTCCTGTTTTTTTTTTTCTTCTTTTTTATTTCCCTTTTCATTTTTTTTTCCACCATCTCTCAGCTCTGGCGTATTTGTATTTTTCCAGGCCTGTGTTACCAACTTTTGTTCCCCAAAAGCTCTTGAACAACAGGGCAAAGCTGCTCCTCAGCCCCTCTACCAACACACAGGTAACGAGTGAGAGTGTAGCGGGGTATGAGCGTGTTCAGGAGCAACATGCACACTTTAAATAGGTCCAATAACAGAACCGAGACCAAACCATCTGCATGGGAATCACTGGGATGTGCTGCCCCCTTATAACCGGGTCTTAGGACTTGCTATATCCTGGGCTCTTCATTTCACTTTAATGAGATAGAATTTGGATTTGTTTGATTAGCTCTTTTTTTTTTTTTTCTTCTTTTCTGAGGGCAGAATTATTCTTTCTGTTAACAAT